CAAGAAAGCAGCAGTATAGACTCCTGTGTACACAAGGCTATAGTAGGATTAGTTTAGCATAGAATCCTATTCATTCCCATCTCATGCTTTATTCTGTTATTTACTGTAGACACGCTACTGCAGTCAAATAAAGTGTGCATTTCTCTACCTTTCCTTCACTATTCTCCCAACGCTGGCACATCTTTAAAAAAACCAACAAGCTACCTTGCTAACTAGACAGAGGACAAGGAGGAAAAGGATATGGACATAAAAAGATTTTGTAAGTTGGAGCTTCTCTAGCAGAGGCTTTGTTAACTGAGATGTGCCTGTATATAACTTTTGGAACGGAATGGTAGTAAATAAATGTGTAAAATTATATTATTAATAAAAAAAATCAAAGGTAGATAATATTACTGGAAAGTCCCTATGAACAAAAGATGGAAAGGAGTTTACAAACTAAAGAACATGCATTTATTTTATTTATTTATTGCAGTGAAAGATTTACATCTCATGCTATATAATAAGATATCTCATTATATCACAAGATCTGTTACAATAATTTAAAACAATATAGATCAGTTTGACACATTGCTAAAAAGCCATATTTAATTGATGCTGAACAGAAGCTAATGTCAGTGTCAATCCAGCTTTCAAGAAAAGTGCATTACACAATTGGGGTGCCACAGCACCGAAGGCAGTGTCCTACACAATGCTTCACACAGTGCATTGCTCTCATGGGTTTTGGTGTTGTTGTTTTTTAATTCTTGCTTTATAGAGGCTTATAAATGAGAACTTATTGGGAGAGAGGGGAATCCAACAAGCTTTCATGTGGAAATTGTCCTTCCTGAGAACAGTTTTTAAAAAATGCAAGTTGTGTTGTTGTTGTTAGTCATAGTAGTAATACTAATATTAGTAGGACAGAGCCAAAGTAGTGCAGGAGTCTGAATGTTTACTACAACTCTGGAGAGCAGGGTTCAAATACTCACTCAGTTTTTGAAACCCACTGGGTGACCTAGGACAAGTCACGTTCTCTCAGCCTTGGAAGAAAGCAAAGGCAAACTGCCTCTGAACAAATATTGCCAAGAATACCCCATTATAATTTTGCCTTAGGGTTGTCATGAATTGGAAACAGCTTGAAGACACACAGCAACAATAGTACTAGGATTATGACACTGACTTTAAGTAATTAATCTAACATAAAACAGTATTTAATAAATGGCTGCATTTGCATGAAAAAACAAAATTTTCCAGCCATGTGCAGATAAAGCAGTGAGAATTAGCATAAAGGAATTAACTTCTTTTACTCTATTGCACAAGGACAACAGAGTCTATGGAGCGTCCATGCAGCAGTAGCTAGTATTGTTAACATGTATGATTAGCTACAGCTTGGAGGATGCCAAAGGCTGAGAAAATATACCTTTCCCAAAGGAACTTAAACAAGTGTGACTGAATGAAAAGCTCTAAAATTCATCTTTCACGGAACTTCCTGCCCAATACCCAAAAGGTTTCCTGCCTCCTTTGCATGCAGACATATAAATCCAGTCTAGTTTAATTCAAGGTATATAAAAATAGAGGCAGTTCTGCTGTGTGGGGTGGGATCTTGGCAGACATAAACTGTCACTATCAATCAAAGTTTAGTCAAAACACTGTTTCCCAGGTGTTACAAACAAGTTTAACTTCAGTCTCTCTGTTCTAACACTAGAATGACAGGAATGAGAATCATCTGCCTATTTATTTTAAAAAACTATGGATGGTAAGAATAATCTTATGGTAGATACAATCTTATGGTAGATACAGGAAGAGTATATGATTCTGTAGCAGAGATGACTATATAAATATAAAAGAGATATCATTTTCCTTCATAGAATGGATGCTAGCAATTACTACCCAATGTTTTAAGAATTTATCCCATAGTGTGGCATACTATTTGATTTTGTGTGTATGTAAAGGTTGGGAAAGTGGTTTTGGTTTTTGAGGTTGTTTTTTTGAGGGGGACTACAACAGAAAACCTCAGTCAGCAAGGACAGTATGGTTCAAAAATGTTCTATGGTCTGCGGAGAATTTTGAAAAGACAGTTAGAAAAGATGGGAGGAGAATTGAGAAAGTTTTAACATTTTTGGAGGTGGTGGTGGTGGGAAACTTGTGAATATTGTGCCTTAGACCCTATTAATGGTATTGATTTTAACTGAAGAGAGAACTCTGTGATTACTTCTATGCAAGGAGAAACCTAACATGGGAGGAAGAAAACTAGGATTGAATCCTTTTCCTTAATGGAAATTTTATACTGTCATTCCATGATCACATTAAGATTATGTGTAGTGTGAAGATTCTTTCCAAAATGAGCCAGCAGGATAAATAAAGGTCTTTTTTTAACAACAGTGCAGCGTAACAACATTTTGTTCCACAGAAACACCAGAGTACATCTCACATTTTCCTTCATTTCACTATGTTTTTCCCTTTCAACTCTCACACATTTCCAAATGATAATTTGAATGTGGGTTCTGAAATGGGTTGGACTGGATCTGAATTGGTCCAATCCAAATCACCATACTAGGAAGATTTGTACAGCCATCCTAGATATAGTCCTTTCACAGTATCTAAATTTGCTTAAAGAGTGATTTGATCCCCTCTACTTAGAAGTCAGTCTTATGGATTTCAGTATGGCTTGCTCCCAGTTAAGTAACACAAGACTGCAGCCTTCACATCCATATGATCCCTGGTAGATCCAAACCATGGCACATTTATTCCTGTTGTAAAATGTTTCACTGCTGAGAGAGGGTAGAGGCATCATTGAATCCCTGTATCCAGCACTTCAGAAATCCTTTTGTTAGTGGTGCTGCATGGCCGAATAGACTGGTTTCTGGAGATAGCACTAGGAGACATAGCTACAATGACAGAGCTCAGCTATTTTAGCTCTGTCTCCCAATGCAGGACTTTGACCCTAGTTTCCAGAAACACATGTGGGTTTTTCCATGCAAAAATAACATTGTGCACCATTTTTGCCCCCCCCCCCCAAAAAAAACCTGATTTTGGAAACAGTGTGTTCAGATAAGAGCTGACTTAGACACCAGGTTTCAACAGAAAGTATAGACGAGGTGTCCAGTGACTCCGCCGATGTAATTTTACTAGATCCGCTGCAATCTGTGAGTACTGATGATGTGGACAAGCTCCTTGGTAGTGT